GAGAAGACAAGACAAGACAAGACAAGACAAGACAAGACAAGACAAGACAAGACAAGACAAGACAAGACAAGACAAGACAAGACAAGACAAGACAAGACAAGACAAGACAAGACAAGACAAGACAAGACAAGACAAGACAAGACAACAAGACAAGACAAGACAAGACAAGACAAGACAAGACAAGACAAGACAAGACAAGACAAGACAAGACAAGACAAGACAAGACAAGACAAGACAAGACAACAAGACAAGACAAGACAAGACAAGACAAGACAAGACAAGACAGACAAGACAAGACAAGACAAGACAAGTACAAGACAAGACAGACAAGACAAGACAAGACCAAGACAAGACCAAACAAGACAAGACCAAGACAAGACAAAGACAAGACAAGACAAGACAAGACAAGACAAGACAAGACAAGACAAGACAAGACAAGACAAGACAAGACAAGACAAGACAAGACAAGACAAGACAAGACAAGACAAGACAAGACAAGACAAGACAAGACAAGACAAGACAAGACAAGACAAGACAAGACAAGACAAGACAAGACAACAAGACAAGACAAGACAAGACAAGACAAGACAAGACAAGACAAGACAAGACAAGACAAGACAAGACAAGACAAGACAAGACAAGACAAGACAAGACAAGACAAGACAAGACAAGACAAGACAAGACAAGACAAGACAAGACAAGACAAGACAAGACAAGACAAGACAAGACAAGACAAGACAAGACAAGACAAGACAAGACAAGACAAGACAAGACAAGACAAGACAAGACAAGACAAGACAAGACAAGACAAGACAAGACAAGACAAGACAAGACAAGACAAGACAAGACAAGACAAGACAAGAGACGATAAGAGAAGAGAAGAGAAGAGAAGAGAAGAGAAGAGAAGAGAAGAGAAGAGAAGAGAAGAAAAGAGACGAGAAGAGAAGAGAAGAGAAGAGAAGAGAAGAGAAGAAAAGGGGAAGAGAAGAGAAGAGAAGAGAAGAGAAGGGGAAGAGAAGAGACGATAAGAAAAGAGAACAGAAGAGAAGAGAGTGTTGAGAAAGAGAAGAGAAGAGAAGAGAAGCGGAGAGAAGAGATGAGAAGAGAAGAGAAGAGAAGAGAAGAGAAGAGAAGAGAAGAGAAGGAAAGAGAAGAGAAGAGAAGAGAAGAGAAGAGAAGAGAAGAGAAGAGAAGAGAAGAGAAGAGAAGAGAGAAGAGAAGAGAAGAGAAGAGAAAGAGAGAGAAGAGAAGAGAAGAGAAGAGAAGAGAAGAGAAATAAAAGAGAAGAGAAGAGAAGAGAAGAGAAGAGAAGAGCCGACAAGAGAAGAGAAGAGAGGATACAAGAAGAGAAGAGACGAGAAGGGAAGAGGAGAGGAGAGGAGAGGAGAAGAGCGGAGAGAAGAGGTGGGAGAGGAGAGGAGAGGAGAGGAGAAGAGATGAGAGGAGAGCAGAGGAGAAGAGAGGAGAGGAGAGGAGAGAATAGGAGAGGAGAGAAGAGAATAGAACAGAAGGGAAGAGAAGAGAAGAGAAGAGAAGAGAAGAGAAGGGAGGAGATGAGAAGAGAAGAGAAGAGAAGAGAAGAGAAGAGAAGAGAAGAGAAGAGAAGAGAAGAGAAGAGAAGAGAAGAGAAGAGAAGAGAAGAGAAGAGGAGAGAAGAGAAGAGAAGAGAAGAGAAGACGAGAAAGGGGAGGAGAAGAGAAGAGAAGATATGAAGAGAAAAAAATGTACCAGAACAGAAGAGACGATAAAAAATAGTAGAAAAGAGAAGATACGGAAAGATAAGAAAAGTGAAGAGAAGATAAAGGAAGAAACGAGGCGAGACGAGGCGAGAAGACAAGACAAGGCAAGACAAGACAAGACAAGACAAGACAAAAGAAGGAAGGATATGAGAAGAGAAGAGAAGAGAAGAGAAGAGAAGAGAAGAGAAGAGAAGCGAAGCGAAGCGAAGAGAAGAGAACTGAAGGGAGGAGATGAGAAGAGAAGAGAAGAGGAAAGAAGAGACGTGAAGAGAAGAGAAGAGAACAGAAGAGAAGAGAAGGGAAGAGGAGATAAGAGAAGAGAAGAGAGGGAGGAGGACATCGAGGAAGAAAATGAAAGGAAAGGGACAGGGGGGTGGGGAGGGGGGGCGGGAGAGGCGGTGGAGGGTGGAGCAAGAGGAGCAGGAGGTCGCGAGCCTCCGCAGGTTCGCCGCGGCCGCGACCCGGGCGCCTGGAAGAAAGCGGCGACGAGGGCCCCGGGAGCCCCGAACGCCCAAGCGGGCAATCCGCACAGCGAGGGCCCGCGGCAGCGGGCCGAGGCCAGCAGAGCGCCAGCCCCGCGGGGACGAACACGGGCGAGCCGGGAAGCCCACGAGGGCCACCCGCGGACCTGAGGACCCGCCCAGAAGGGAGGGAGGGTTCACACCCGCGGAACCCCGTCTCCACCGAGCTGCCGAGGGCAGGTCGGCGCGTGCCGAGTGGCAGATAGCCAGAAGGGCGATGGCGTAGCCAAACCCACAGCTGGATTACACGCTTGCGGGCGCAGGCTCGGCCTGCACCCCGCTTGCCTCCTCCTTCTCCTCCACCTCCGCATGATCATAATCGACATCGTCCTCGACATCGTGATCGTTAGCATCATCATCATCATCATCACCACCACCACCGCCATCGTCATCATCATCATCGTCATCATCATCATCATCATCATCATCATCATCATCATCATCATCATCAGCATCGTCATCATCATCATCATCATCATCATCATCATCATCATCATCATCATCATCATCATCAGCCTCGTCATCATCATCATCATCATCATCATCATCAGCAGCATCAGCATCAGCATCATCATCATCATCATCATCATCATCATCATCATCATCATCATCATCATCATCATCGTCATCATCGTCAGCAGCAGCATCATCATCCTGCTCATGCTGCTGCTCTTGCTCCTGCTCCTCAGCTCCCCCATCCCGTCCCACATTATTCCTCTTCTCCCGTGCTTCACCACCTCATCCTCCGCTTCATCCTCATCTTCATCATCCAACCCGCGTCACCATCGTAACCACCACATCATGACCAGCATCATCATCAGCATCAACATCAGCAGCATCATCATCATAATCACCATCAGCATCATCATCATCATCATCATCATCATCATCATCATCATCATCAGCATCAGCATCAGCATCAGCATCATCATCAACCTCATCATCATCATCATCACCATCATCATCATCATCATCATCATCATCATCATCATCGTCATCGTCATCGTCATCATGACCACCATCAGTCATCATCCTTATCATCACCAATCATCATGATCAGCATCATCACCACCATCATCATCCTCATCATCATCATCAGCATTATCATCATCGTCGTCAGCAGCGTCATCATCCTCCTCATCATCATCATCAATCCTCATCATCATCACCACCAGCATCATCATCACCATCGTCATCATCATCATCATCATCATCATCATCATCATCATCATCATCACCACATTCAGTCATCGCCATCAATCATCATCGTCATCATCATCATCGGCATCATCATCATCATCAGCGTCATCATACTCTTCATACTCATCATCAGAATCAGCATCATCATCAGCATCATCTGCATCATCATCAGCATCATCAGCATCACCACAAGCAGTATCATCATCATATCGTCGCCCGCATCAACGTCATCCCCATGATAATCATCACCAATAACAACCACAACATCACCTTCATTATCATTATCGTCGTCGTCGGCATCCTGATCGTACCATCATCCAGCATCATCAGAATCCCTCATCAGCAACACTTAGAGAATGAACATCATCAATTGTGTCGTCATCCTAATCATCATCGCCCTCACCACCACAATCATCATCGTCCACAGCATCATCATCAGCAGCATCAGTATCATCATCATCATCATCATCATCATCATCATCATCATCATCATCATCATCGTCATCGTCATCGTCATCGTCATCAGCATCCACAGCATCATCATAAGCAGCATCATCATCATCATCTGCATCGTCATGATCAGCATCAGCACCATCAACATTGAAACAGCATCATTGTCATGGTAATCATCATCACCAGCAGCATCATCATCAACGCCATCATCATAGTCAGCATGATCATTACTGTCGTCATCATCTTCACCATCACCATCATCATCATCACCCTCGGCATCATTATCGTCCACCATCCATCATCAATCATCAACTCCACACCATTAACTTTCAACCATCCATCATCCACCAATCATCTTCCACCATACGGCTTTATCATCAATAGCAGTCGCAGCAGCAGAATCATGAGCATCAGCATCAGCAAAAACACCATCATCCTCATCATCACCATCATCAGCAGCAGCAACATGGTCATCGTCATCGTCAGCACCATCCCAATCATTATCATGACTACCACCACCACCACCACCGTCATCATCAGTCTCATCATCATCTTCTTCATCATCACCATCATTATCATCAGCAGCATCAGCACCGCCGTCATCATCATCATCATCATCATCAGCATCATCAGCAGCAGCATCATTCAACCTCTCTTCTCCCGTTTCCCTGTATCATCCCCCTTGCCACAATCAATCCGCATCCTCCTTCACCTCCTCCGATTCTTCTTCCTC